CAATCCAACTCCCAACGAATGCAATACAATGGAAAACAACAACAGTTGGGTGATGCAGATTCTGACAATGGCTGGCTGGGGAATTCTGGGAGTTGAAGTCCACTCATCTTAAAGTGGCCAAGTTTGGACAACACTGGCTTAAGTCATGCCAAGTATCGTTGTCGAGGATGCTTTGCTTCAGATCAGAGGAGCTTCTCTCAGGGCTGCCCAAAGTGAAGTAGTGGGCTGACAGCTCATAATGTTTCAAGTTTGTGAGAATACTCGACTTCCATGAGAACACATTGTTCGGCTGCCCCCCTCTCCCAAAGTGCCATTTCAAGGAGCAAAGTGTCTCCACGTCTAAGTCTCCACAGAAATTAAGCCAGATTAATGAGATTCCAGTCTCAGGAAAACCCCAAAAAGGAACTCATAGCAATGCTCTCAAAAATTTAGATTGAAATGCCTCCACAGACCTCTGTAGACCTTAAAACAAATCTGTGTGCTGTATAGCAGATAGGTACCTTAGCTCTGAAAATTTTAATTGCAGCAAAAACATGTTTACTGTCATTGTGGTTGGCAAAGTGCAGAAATTGCATTTGAAAATATATGACCCCAGTGGTGATATAACAGGACTTGTTTTTCCTAAGAAACCAAAGAAATACTTTATAGAAGTCATAATGTGTTTCTATTAACTGTAACAACATCTCACTGGATTAAACCAGGATTCTGCCTCTATGGCTCCAACCAGATGCTTAAGAGAAGCCCATAGACAGAACTTGAAAGTATAACATCCTCATGCCTGTGTTTTCCAGTAAGTGGTTTTGAGAGACATATTGCCTCTAATCCTGAAAGTAACATAAAGCTAACATGACTTACAGACATAAATAGGAAAAAAAATCCTGGAGGATAAGGCTAAGCATGATTCAAACTGGTGATCATTATCACATCTTCCCAATCACAGCTTAAATATCAATGTCCTACCATTCATATTCATTGGATGGCTCTACATTCTACAATTATGAGAGAATCCCCAGACCTTAAGTATCTGTACCAGGCCCTTCTTATTCTCTTTTTTCCCAAGTGAAAAGAATATGCTGTTTCCTCAAAGGGAACTTGACCACATTGCTGTTCATTCTTACATCCTGATTAGATATGAAGAAAATGTTCCAGTCCCAAAACAGTTGGTTAGGGAACCCCAGGATCAATTTATTCTTAATCTTTGATTCCTGATCTTGAGCCAGTTACCAACCCATAAGAGGTCCTCTCTTCTCTTCTCTTCTCTTCTCCTGAATGCTACATTGGTCAAGAGATTTCAGTGAGGAATTTTTTAAATTCAAAGTAAGCAGTATCTACTTTGTAATACCTAGCAAAATCTAGCTTTACAGTATCTGCTATTTGCCTCATGGAGTAGTGAAACAAAAGAGCTAAGATTTTAAACAAATCTAAACATTCCAAACATTATATAATGTATAATATTCACTTCTATTTAAACAGTACTAAGAACAGATTGTAGACAGTTCATTGTCACTCCAAGTCACTAGATAAATGAACACACGATCAAAAGAACACCAAAAGGGGTTTGAGTAGGAACTAAAGGGGCATTACCTGGATACACACTGGGAGGGGATGGAGTAGGGACAGCAATAGGGACACCCACACTTCCGCTCCCGCTGTTCTCTCGACTGCTGCTCCTACTGCTGGGATGGCTCCCTCCACTGCTTCCGCTGCTGCTAAAAGAAATCCAAACCACCAAAGTAACTATATTCCATTCCCTGACAGACAAACCACAGCTACACGACGTTACAGAAGCTTGCTACGTTTGCAGTTTCAGAGGCCAATAAAAACAGGGTATGCTTTTAAAATGCCTTGGCAATGCCTCAGCTAAAATTGGGGTACACCATTCAGGATCAATAGTACAGGTTCAATGATAGGAAACAGTTTCAAGAGCGTTATCGAAAGATCCTGGCAATATGGACCTTTGATCAAAAGAGAAATAATCTCTTAGAAAGCTGGTTTCATCTAAAGTGCATAATGCTCTTTCAAATAAAAACACCTATGTATAAAATAGTTTTTTTCTAAGTGCCATGAGAGCTCTTCAGTGTAGCCTAACTTTTTTTTTTCCTCCTTGCGTACTGCTGACCTGCTCTCAGGTTGATTTCCATACTACCAAAACTATGTTATCAAGGCTATTTTTCTCCTGTTATAATATGCCTTCTAGGAGTTCAGAGAAATAAATAACATTAGCCACATTTCAAGTAGTCAACTGAACTACACAATTGTTCAAAGTTGGAAGCACTTTCACAAGCATCAACATTTCATCACTTCATAATTTTGAACATAAACTTCGCAGTTGCATTATTCTTGTTAGCAGGCACCACTTTTTAGAAGCTGTGTATCACACCAGTTATAAACAGAAGGTAAGCAATAAAAATAGATACATTAAATACAATAGTATTTCTGTTACACAATGCAGTAGTGTACTGTATATTGCTTTTGAACAAAACAAAAAACTGTTCCTAGACAAACAACTTCACACTACACAACATGTAGTATAAGCAGCATGGTTTCTCTCTATCTCCCAATGGATTTCCCAGGAAATCACATGAATTTATGAAGCTCTAAGTGGAGGGGTGGGGTGGAGTGGGGTGGGGTGGTTAAAAGCAGATTGCTATAAACCAAGTTGTCTGTCTTAATTATTGTTAATATTTTGTGCAGGAGCAGAGTGAATACCTGTAAGTGCGATTCCTCTGATTCACAGAAGCTGTTCTAACAGGGCTCTGCTGCGAGGGAGCGATATTACGGGTAGGGCTAGGTACATAGTCATTTGGTACCACTGGAGGACGCACTGGCTCCAGTGTGCGATAGGGAGAGTGACGCCTACACAAGAAAAACATGTATGGAAGCAATTTCAGACAATGAAATACAAAGACCTTTTGGGCAAGGCAGTGCAGAAGTCTTGCTAGATTGTTCTGCTTGAAAATGCACAGGGCTGGATCCAATGAACTGCAGGAGTAGCATCTGTGGAGGATTTCCTTAGGCTCAACTTGGCCCAGCTTTCCCAGCTGGCATATATGTAGATAACTCAGAAAGAGATCCATGCATGCCTGCCATAAACTATCCCTCCCTCCCTCTTTCCTCAAGATTATTTGTGTACCGGAGCAGAAAGGACAGACGGGATAAGGTTATAAGAGGCATGCACAGAGTTCCTATTCCCCTTAATGGCCTGTCATGCTACGTGTAATAGGCATCCCTATGAAGAAGAAAGGAAGAGAGAACAGGATTCTTTGGAGCTAAAAAATCCCCACATAATGGTACTGGGCCATGAAATTTTCTATTCATCTAGTATAGGATATTCAGGCTGGCTACTTTTTCCAGGTATAGTGTACAGCTATTCATACTGCAAGCACAAGCCCAAAGGCTCCCACAGAAAGAATGTCTCTTATACTTTCAACGACTAGGCAACACTTCTTGGTGATATTATGGATAAGTTATCTGCTTGCAAGAAAGATGCCTTCAAACCCCAGAATGCAACTTTTAAGCACCTCTATGCCAAGCGACAATTGTAAAAGTTAAAAAAAAAGTTTTATCTTTCCCTTTACATTCTCCCCCTCCACCTTCTGATGTATATACACTTATACTTACCCAATGGTTCCTTTCCCTGACATTGGTGGACTGGGTGGTTTCTGGGTGGGCGGTGTGGTACGAGGCAGACCACCCATTTTCATATTCTGCGTGCTAACCTGTGTAAGAGGTAATGGGAAAAAAACCAACCTCACTGAAACTCTTCAAGCTTAAACAAGAGTCTTTTGAGACCACTACTACATTAAAGAGACAAGAAGATGTGCAAAAAACCAAAGCAGTCATGCATATATGTGCTATTTCTACCCTTGTTAAAGTTTATTAGATGCATTTAAATTGTGGTTATGTGGTGCGACAGTGTGTCTGTTTGGACGGCGTTTGCCTTAGGCCACAACATTTAAGTTTAGATCACTGGCAATGTGGCACAGAAATCTATCTCAATGAAAGTTGATGAGCTTTCTGGGCTTAACTTAGGAGCATTAGACAAATTTCCATTCCAAGAATGCAGTACTACATTTGTCTCCTCCAATGAGATTGAAAGGTAAGTGTATCTGAAACACTATACTGGCTATGCCTTAACTATATTATGTGCGTGGGAGTTAAAACAGGGATTTTTCAACTACATGCAATGAACTACGGGCTCAAAAGCTGGTTTGGAGCTTGGCTTCTCACTACACATACTCATGGTAACAAGTACAAATTTACAGCTGCATATTGTATGAAAAGCCCCTCTGAGCAGTGTCTTTCAGGAACAACTCCTTTCATGAATGCCTTGCATGGAATTTTACTAGCTATGCCTAGAAAGTCCTGAAATATATGAGCTCTCATAATACGTTTTGTAATAACACTGGAATGAGAAACATGAATCTAATTATCTTTTCAATCCAATTAATCATATATCATCATGGGGGGGGGCAAAGGTTTGCTGGAATCAACAGCAACAGGAGGTAGTGATAAAGCTTAAGTACTGTTTCCCTTGCTTTTTCCATATAAGGTTCTTTGTGTCACTGTGATAAGAATTCCATTCAATCCCTCTCCCTTTATACAGCTTGTGGGAGCTACAATTAGTGGTATAAACCTTCATAACCCATTTCCCCAAGAATCACTGAGGTGTGGGGATTCTTTCTTGGCAAAGAGAAGAATTTGACCCAAAGAACATGTACTAAATTTAATTTTAGTTGCAATTATATACAACTGATGAAGCCACACTTAATAAAACAGAATTAAACTGAGTTGTATCACTAACATCATACAGTCAAAGCACAATTAAAATTTCAAGCATGTAGCTTCTGAAGGGACTGTTCATTCTGAACTGTAGGATTAAATAATCCAATATTGCCCCAAAGAAAAAATATTTAAGTAAACCTTGTAATAGTTTTCATATGCATTACACATGGAATATACTTGTAAACTTTAATATTAAACTTACATTGACATTACTATCCTTCTGGAAGCTTTTAAAAATTGAATTCTTCTAGAAATCATATTATGATGTATTATTAAGTAGCAAAAGATAAATATTTGTGTTTATATTATGTTGCTGGGATATTATTATTCATTTTGTTTGTTCTTAACTATTTTACCATGAACATTTTAATGTATAATTGTGTTGTGTTGTTGCAGCAGTTTACAAATAAAATAAATAAATAGTATACCAGACTTTAAAAAAATGAAATGGTATTATTCTTACTTGACAGTAAATACAAAGAAAATCAACAGTTCTTATTAGTTCATTAATCACCTCAATTTTTAAATTTATAGTAGCTATTTTACTGGTCAGTCCAATCTGATTATATAAATGATGCTATAAATACAAGTTATGAATAATTAAATGTCTCATGTTCAACCGCATGTTTTAAGAAATAAGCAGGATTTTCATCAACCACAAATATGACAGAAATTGTGATTATTTCTCTGTACATAAGAAAAAAAGCTTACTAACTGAAGGAAACACTGGAGTGTAAGTCAATCTAGGTTTAAGAATTAGGATTTGACATGGCCTTTGGAAAGTTATTCAACCATATTTCCTTACCATAAGAGCAACACTAATAATACATTCACAGTGACCGTGAGTTTTATGGGACAACCTAGAGTCTAAAGGTTCTGCCTCTTTCTGAAGAAAAAATATGCAGGGAAGGGGATACTTTTACAAGAAATAGTCCATGAGGCACGGCATTCTGCAAACAGCTACCATCATAATGGAATATTAAGACACTTAGAAGTGATGGATGCTGTAGTCTAATATTTGGATGGCATCAAGTTAGATAAGGTTGTCAGTGCTTCAAAATAGTTATACACATGCAGAATACATTTTGGTAGCTTTAGACTACCTATTCTCAATATCCAGGGATTCCATGCTAAACACACAGAAATATTAATTCAAGATTACTGCAAAACTTAACATGTTCTAAGATTTTTCTAGAAATCTTCCAGCAAGCGTAAATGCATACAAGTTGCTACACTATTCCACACACCACCAGCAATAAAGGAGAGAAGTAATAGTGGTTGTGGTAATCTTAGGAAAGGGCATGTGTGGCAGTTATGGCTGTGCCCACTGCTGACATGCAGGCGTTTATAAATTACCTTGGAAGGAAAGAAGTTTTCAAGGGGGGATAATCCTCCTTATTCTTACCTTTGGCAGACTGGCTTTAAGCTATTTGTTAGACATGTGATATATTTACATTTTAAGATAACAAACTGGCAATTTAGAATTTGTATTCATCTTCAGAAAAAATGGTAAAATGCCACAAAGAGGAATGCAAATATTCAGTATCCTGCCAACAAAATATTTACTTGCTAAGACATGAACAAATCAAGAGATTTAAACACAGTTCCTCAGCTCAACTAATCTTCAAAAACTAAGGTGAGTTTGGCATAGCTGTCTTATGGACTGAACGCTCTACAGTCCAATTTCTTACCATCAGTTATGTTATTTTTAAAAAATGGTTAATTTCCACATTATTAGACTACCAATCCCTCCAGGGCAAGGATAATATCCATAGGCACCATCCCATTTTAGACCTACAAGAACTTTGTAAAGTACATTTAAATGAATGTGTGAGTGGCTGAAGATTATGGTTAGCACAGTACGGATCTGAACTCCAACTGCACACACTAGTTATGTTCAGTTAATTAGATGATAGAGGCCACTATGTAAACACACCAAAGTTGGCCGCACATGCTGTTCAGTACCAAGTCTCATCATATGCAATTCAACACAACTTTAGGGACTCTACTGCCACTTCATCTCTCATCTGCCTCTCTTATGATTAGCCACAGGGGACAAGTTACCAGCACTAGGTTGAACTTCCTGAAGACTGTTCACATTCTTAAAGCAATGCAAGGTTACTCATAAAGTAATAACTGAAGGGCTCAGGATAATTAAGATATTTATTTTGGTATTTATTATATTGTTATATCTATTCCTACTTGAGCCTTTATATCCCTGCAAAAAAGGGAAGAATTACTCAGTGTATGTCTCTCTCCACCCATTTGCAGACAATTAGCTCTGAGCACTCAAGAGGGTGATTTCAAATGGAGTTTGGGCACACATATTTTTTCTGTTCTGTACTACTTAAGTGTAAACACCTTGGGCATGAATGAATGTATTTTAATAAAAAATACTGAGAGCATTGAAAGCATTAAACTTTAAATCCTACTTAATATAAGGGAGACAACAAAGCATGGCAGAATCTATATAAATGTATATATTTCCAAAGGAACTATATAGATCTGCAACACCAGCCTAATAGCAGGACTGGTGTAGCAGTTCAAAAATCTGCTTAATAATTGATAATATAATTTTAAAACATATAAAATAAACACACCCCAAGTTATTTTTGATTTTGCAAAATAGAATAAGTTTGCAAATTCAAATTTGGCTCATAAATGAGATCAAATCACATCATATAAAGTATAATATATTATTACACAGGGGGAGAGAACACCTGTCACAAACTTACATTTATATTTTCTCATGCAAAGTGTTGATTTCTGAGGGCCTTGCTAGTTATCTAGTTCTTTAAGCATTTAGCATACTTTTAAGTCCCAAGAAACATATGAAAGATTACATTCTTCCCATCCAGCCTGGCAAGAAACAACATTCTCCCCATATGTAATAGTCTCAAATATAAGAATGAAATCCAGCCCTGATGTTTCTTACCTTAAATCTAAGCAACCACTTAATGCATAAATGAAGCAAATAAAAGAGGTAAGGAAGAAAAGCATTGAAAGGTTAGTTGAAATTTCAGGATATGAAGAAAGAAGGGGAAAAAAAGAAAAGTTAAGCATTTAGCATCAACTAAATAATGTATCAATAGATCATAGAAAGAGTGATTAAAGCAGAAGGTGTTATGAATAAAGGTTTTCAAAATGAATAACGTTTAAAACGTTATTAATAGAATTTGTTAACAAATCTGTTAACAAATAACAATGATAAATTGAATTCTAAATTATTATTTTGCACATATAGCATATTCACAAATCTTATACAATGCTAAAAATACTGAGAGAAAAAGTTCACCCAATATAGATTTTATGGTTGTGCATCTTTCAGAAGTAGTTCAGCCCATGCAGGAACAAAGCTCTCTTTGGATCATTAAAACAGTGGTATCTTTTTCCAGGCTCACATACCCTACTTCAGAAGCTGTGCCAGCTATCTCTATATATCTCCTGCACATGCCAAGCCATTTCCCTCTGCTTTTTTCCCAGAAACCCAAAGTGGTTTGCATGCACACACATGCAGAAACAGCTGAGAACAGCTTATGAAGCAGCCACGAGTGTATAAAAGGACACGCCTGCTTTAATAAATCAAAAAGAGATTCTTTATACAGGGTTCCATATATTCTGAAGTACCTCTTTGAAGAGATTTATTTAGCTATAAGGTTTATGCTATGTATCCATTCTTCCAATGGTAAATCTATTAAATATTCTGATGAACTACATATTCCTACCCATGTGTAGACTCAAGTACAAAGTTACTTTTAAATTACAATCCTTTAATTAACTTCCCTTGATTAAAAAAGCCTGGCAGCTTGTGACCAATAGGGCTTTGCAGCACTTCAGATTTGAAGAGAAAAAAGATGCTTTGGAGCACGTACATCTCTCAGCAGCTCCTTGAACCAGGGTTGTCAAGCAGTGGGTTGGGTCCCCATGGGACAGGGGCCACAAGTATCACAAGTAACTTATAGATTGGACACAACTTCTGTTTAAAACCTGACTGGCCTTGCACAGGTAGAGCAGGGCACTGTCAAAACTTGTTCCGACTATATTGTTTTCCACAAATATTTTTATTTCTAAGTATTTTTATTCTGATCTTCTACTTATAGTATCCATATTACAGAATAATTAAATTAAATTAAATGCCTGTATACCCCTCAAAATTAGGTTTTATTTGGTCATTAGCTCCACTATTCATTGTCACCATCTTGGAAGTAGGGGCAGTGACTGAACTGCATTTAATCATTCTATCCACCAGCACAAGAGAAACTGTTGGCAGATTTCCCTTTTCTGAGTGCAGCAACCCACATTCCTTAATTTGCTTTAGAACACTGGAGAACATTCCAGAACAGATTTAGAGGATACAAGGAGGGTCAGGAATGAACATTGGATAGAGCTCATAATGATTACCAAAGATGATATAACATGGATATGTAGTTTTGTTATTGTTGTCCTTACAAATTAAACTTGTATTTTAAACATTCTCTTTCAGATAGTACAAACAAACATACACACATTTGATATTGCTGTCTGGCTCCACGATGGTTACTTTGAAAGAAAAACAGAACCAAAGATGCTATCCCATAAATCAAAGGTGCTACGTTGTTTCTACAGTCCAAATGTAAATATGTGTAACTGCTACAGAAACTCTAACTCTGTGTTGGTTTTATAAAACCTGAAGAGATGAAAACTGTAAGAAAAATAACTGTAGTGTATTCTACGCATCATCTTCACAATAGGATTGTCATATGCATCAATTTTTAGAAAATTCACTAATGTTTAAGTGAGAATTTCATTCAAAGGTTATTATGCACTTTCAGAATAGTTCTATATTATAATCAACATGGTAAATGTTTTCACTGAAGAATGATGAATTACAGATTTAAATATATTTCAGATTTAACATACTTCACTGAAGAACTTGAATCACTGCATTCTGGATTGTGAAGTAATGAATAATATAGGTAGTTCAAGAAAAACCACAGAAACAAATGCATTTCTTTGCAAGTTAAATAATTCTCCAAAAAATACCACTTCATATTATTTTGTCATTTCTGCTAATATGCTAACTGAAAATGCTGTAGGTATTGTAAATTGTTCCTTTTCACATTACTTTTTCCCTTCTCAGTGGTATTTTCACAACTTTTAATTACTTCATATATTTTAAGATTGCATTTCAGAGAAGGCATGCAAAAAAATGAACAAACTTTAGACATGCAATTAAATGTGTAGCTACACAATGCATGCATACAAATTTAATATATAATTCTACCTGTAATTTAGCAACATTTAAATCATACTATAAGTGTTGTTAGAGCCACATACCCAGTGGAGCCTAGATATTTTTCTGGTTATCTTACTTTTCTGTTTTAAAAGGGTACTCAAAGATTAGCCTCTTAATTTTGCTTACTACACAAGTCTGGGATTAACTGAATCTAGAATCTAGAGAGTAGGCAGCAGTCAAATCCATGTAATAAATATACAGTAAATAAATAAATTGGCTTGATTTAGGGAAAGATTAATGTCATGCTTGCAATGGTATTGTAACAAGATTTTAGTTCACAAGCAAACAAAAAAGGGAAAGTAAGTATTATATTGTCACTCAGTACTGTTTGATAACCAAGTCTAAATCAAGAGAAGGGTACCAAATGAATTCTATTTTATTTTTTGGTTATTGAGAGACAAAGAACAATACAGGGTCAATAAGATAAAAGGTAGGAAAAACCATGCCATTAATTGGAGAATGCAAGGGAGCCTGTCTACACAAACATTTTTGCATTCTTAAAATATACAGGCAGATTAATACATTTGAATTATTTCATCTCACCACTTACCTTTACCCCATGTCCAATATCATCAAGAATTGTATAATCAATAGGTTTCCTGATATAACGAACAGGTCGCTCCAAGTTGGCTGGTGCAATGATTTTGTGAGTTCTTGAAGTGTTTTTGTTTGTAGTCAAGATGCCAATTTCTCTTCTAGCCACTTTTTCCTTATGTATATCAACTGTCTGCAGGCAAAATGAATATACATATAGTAGTGATTTTTTAAATAATCATTAAAGATTAAACAAAACAGCATCATTACAATTGTTACATATTTTATCTGTTTCAGTATAATAAAACATTTTTTCTTATTTCATACAAAAACTTTTGGGATATACAGAATAGCCCTTATACTAATGCTGTATTATTAAGTAACGAAAGAAAAAAGCATAACCTTTTAAAATACTAATGACAATGATCATTTATAATGGTGACATACATTTTCATAACAGTTACATTTTCCCCCAAATAAGACATTAACATTCCTTGTGAGAAAAAGTAACCTGGTAAGTGAAAGAGATATTCCTTCTAGAAACATGAGCCACACCTATGTCCGTGAATCCTCCCTTTGATGGTCTCTCTAGAAAACCTACAGATTATTCTGTATGATTAATAGTATTACACCATGGATTTCTTCTGTACATTTATCTCCATGTATTATAAATACCTAGTTTTGCGGCTCTCTAAGATTATTACAAAAAATTAGCATTAGATACAACTGTGCAAAACATACTACCTCCGCTGTACTGTCCAGTATGGACTTCATGGAATGAAAGGAATGATTTTATGTCATGCTTGGTAATATTGCTTTTATCTCATTGTGAAACACAGTATCATGGAAAAGAGTGCATAGGGTTATATTTTCAGCATCTTTCTAGAAAAACTTTTATTATTTCAGGTTCCAATAACTTAATGAACTCACTGCCATAATTGATCATATAGCATTATACAGCACTTGTTGCAATAATCATACATTTCAGGTATGAATTTTACATTGTAAAGCTGGCTAATGAAGACATTTTTTATTCAATGTAGGGTCAATGAACTTGACATTTCAGGTTGGTTTTAATATTCAAGGTTCTAGAAGTTTTGAATGAGTGCATATTTTATTTCCTGCAAGAAAAATAATTTTTTCCCTAAAAACTAAAAGACAGCCTACTGTAACTGCCTACATGAAACAGTCCAATATCATTCACTGTATTATACTGAGCCTTAAATATAAAGTGAGTAAATATCTTACTTGTGAAATGTGGTTGATTGAAGATTCCATGCGCCTAAGCTGGGATGCCTGGATATCCAACATCTGCAGAACATTATTCGCCAAAGTGTTGATCAGATAGGCTACACTAGCTAAAGACTGAGTTGTGTATGCTTTGGTTTCTTCTAGGGCTCGTTGTTTATCTGCTGACTAAAGAAAAAAATAAGAATCAGAACTGTACATTTTTCATATAAATTATAAAACTTACAGTATTCTGTGCATCTTCCAACATTTTAAGACAATACACACAGTATAGTCATTTCTCACAATTCCTTTCCTAGGTCAAATTGTTCTTTCATGGTATTTTAGTATATAAATTGCTGGCATGGAAAAAGTCATCAGAAAAGTAGAGGAAAGATTTAAAAAACTGGGCTGAAGGAAAAACTGCCTGATATACGTGATGAGCAATAAGCACAATCATGCAACCATGATAAAAAGTCCAAATCAACAGTTCTTCAGAATTACCTGCAAATCTTCACAAGGGCCAGATAACATATACAAAATCCATACATGCAGGCAATTTACTAGATGTTTCTGAATTTGCTCATATTTTTGTATATTAATTTATTGATTACCCAAAACATGTTAAGAGTTTCATACCTCTAATTTATTTCAAAACATTTATGAAAGTAACAAATGTAATCTTAATCATACCCAATAATGCTGAGCAACCACCAATTCATTAAAATGCAAAAAATGATCTATTCAGATCTATTAAGAACTAGTCCTAGATCTAGTATTGTTCATTGTCTGAAAAAAAAAAAAAGCATTCCTAAAAACCCTATTTTTAACCGATATATTCATTTGTTTGTTCTCTGTTTTTAGTGTATATCATCTTAAAACTACTTATATGAAATGTTAACATAACTTACAACATTACGATGCCCATCTTTTGGATAACTGACCTTGTCAGCAAGAAGGCAGTGATTCCAGTGCATGATTATACTTCCACTTCAACCAAGGTCAAGTGTATTCCTGCTGCTGCAAGCTGAATATCTGAAGTCAGCTTCCTTGTATTTCTGAATCACTGGCAGGCATTTCTGAACAACACTGATGTTCTTCAACACAAAATGCACTGCTGGTACCTAACATTACTATAAGTCCTTTTTCAAAAAACTGAAGCTGCCCTCCATTGTATTACTTCTCCACAGATACCAGACTAATGTATTTACTGATTTTAGAAAAGCTGCTATACCTCTACACTATCCAATTTGAGCTCGCTTTTTAGCCAACTGAAAATTACTGTCTCTGCCATAGGAAAATTTTCCTTATGCATGATCAACTTTTCAATTCCATAATACAAACCTATACATTTCCAGGGAATTTTGAATTGACCACATAGCTCTCAGCTCTTCATTCCAAGCACAATGTTTGTTTGTTTTATTATATTTTATGGCCATCCAATTGCATTGCGACAATCAATAAAATAACCATATTGACAACAATTAAACAGCATTATGAGCATAGAGCAAAGACTGAATAAAACAAACTATCATCACACTAAGCAGGCTCATCCAGTACGTAGGCCCAATGTGTGAGTATTTATTACACCCTTCCTTCTCAGATCTACCATTCCAATCAGTACCAGATATACATCATCAATAAACCGGCACTCTACCATATTTAAGAAGAGCAGCATATCAGCAAAAAGCTAATACAGTACTGTAGTTATCTTTCAATTTAGAGCTACTAATTTGCTTTATAAAGTAACTGGTGAAAGCAGTTTTGGCAACAGAAGTAATTTCACTGTTTTAGCAGTTAAAAGTTGAAAGGATGACCATCTGGCTATATAACTATAAAACACTGATTTTATCACCAACAACTGGAGGATTTTGGTTTCATGTGTTGCATCCTACAGTGTCCATTTGCTGATAGAATGGAATATATTTTCCCTCTGGCAGCACCATACTCAAAGCACTTTTCCAAATCTTGATGGTCAAAAATAATTGTCAAAACATTTATAACCTCTTCCCTCTGCAAGTTCTGGATCATTTATACAGTTTCTATCGGAGTACATCTCCCATTTCCCAGCCAATTAATACTGAATAGTGTCAGCTATAATCCAGCACAATTGGAGAGCACCATATTAAGGAGGGGGGGAGAGGGAGAGGGAGAGGGAGAGGGAGAGAATATATTTGTGACATTCCTTAATATGTAGAGGTTTATATAAAATATCTTTAAATAGAGATAAGAAAAAATATCCTAAAAAATTGTCCAACAACTTCTTGTGACATGAAGACTTACAGGACATTGAAAAAATCCATTTAGGATTTTAAATGTCAAAACTGGGAGGTGGAGTCAATAAAAATACAGTGAGAGAAACAGAAAAACTGTGGACAGGGTGCATAGTAATCAAGTCACTTGTTTATAATAATCAGACAAATCTGAAGCATCTTACTTTATTTATTGATCTTTCAAAGGTGCTTTTCAGGATGGGGCGGGAAGGATGCAGATGGTAACATTTTGCTTCCCAGAGGTCTTTCATCCCATCCCTAAAGCATCCCAATAAAAGTAAACCGTTTTGAGATTTGAGGGTACTCTTAAATTTGAATAAAAAGCCAAAAATATTATATCACCAAAATCTGGGCATTTTGCTAACAACTTTAAGAAGCACAATTTTTCAGTATAGGAGGGGATATAAATGCAAAATTGAAGGGCTACTTCAATTATACTATATTAGAATCCACCCTTCACTGAGGGGCAACTAAGTAGCTTCCATTCGTATGAGATTTTCATAAATTCCACTTTAACAGATAAAATCAAATCATAATAATAACTGTATCATATTACACTTCTTCTTACAAGCTCAGTCATACGTGTTATATAACTGGTACAAACTACAGCAAAATAAGCTACAGCGGTACCTCGGTTCACGAACTTAATTCGTTCCACGACTCTCGTCGCGAACCGAATTGGTCGTGAACACATTGGTAAAATACC